CTCCTCTCACTGCAACTTTCTCAACCGTCTCGCATTTATTGCTCTCGTCGCAGTACTCGCTTTAAAGCCCCATCTCTCCGCCCATTCATGCCACGGCTTCACAGGATCGTGGATACAGTCCCGCGTATCCCCTCAGGTGACGGCCCGCTCCACCCAAAAGGACCACGAGAAGATCCAGTCGAACCATCACTGCGAGTTATCTCAGGCCTACTCTATTCTGCACTCTCGCTCATTCCCAACGTCGCCGCGCCTATCCATGGCCGTATCCAACACTGGATTCTTCCCGTCGCCGTAGCCAACCTTGCCGGAGATCAATTCCAAGGACGTCGGACGGTAAATTTGGGCTGGGAAATCAGATTCACTACAAACACTCTACCAACAACTGCTGTGCGTATCCGTGGTGATCCTGTTACGCGGATTCCAGGGAGGACGGCGTAGGAAAAGCTGGTCAACCTGACCAGCTCGATGCTTGGGGCGAGGGTTGGTTGTCGGGTTCCACAGAGCAAGTTTTGGCTGAACTAAATGTATGAAAAGTAGCATTGCCGTACTCGGTCCCCTGCATGTAACATGGCACCGCGCTCGTCTTTGTTCTGACCTTCTCTATCTTCCTTGTCCCACCTTGGTGCCTACACTTACTTTAATGTCTCCTGTAGTTACTGTAACTCTGCTGGGTCAACAGTCAGTCTAAACTTGAATACTCATGATGATCGATTCTGACATAGCTGGGGAAGGGCTATTTATGTAATATGGATAAGAGAGGGAGTGAATACGTTTATATCTATGTTTAAGAACACGCTATCGCCACGCGTAGTTGAGAGCTGTTACTCCAGTCCGTCCCCATCAACTTAGTAGCGGGGAAAATTTTGATTCTGGCTGCAACCGCTCTCATCAGGGCCCTTGGTTCCGTCTAAGATGACCACAGGATTGAAATCTCCCTCAACATCCCGGAAAATGGTGGGATTGTAGAGAAGTACCGCCATTCAGATCACAGCAGTAGAAACTTTATTTTTGGGTCCGTGCGAATGATACAGTAGATTTGGGGCTGGATCCCTTCGAGACGGACGGCTTCCTGAGTAAGTACGCAGCGGCTCCTGCTGGGGCTTAGGCTTCGACTGGAACACTGTACAATTGGAGAGGTTCGAATCCCATGGGAATGATACTCCAACAAGAATTTCTTCATGAGTGTTTCAACGGGAGAGACGGTCACAGACCTGAATCCCCAGCTGGGGTATAAAGGGACCGAGGCAGCCGGCGAAACATGACAACGCGGTGGAGGTGTTTTAGGTAAAATTGACCAAGTCAATTAACAAGACAGGAGGCCCCTCTGTCGTTTAGATTCCTTTTCGACGGAGCAACGACGATCAAAGGGGCGGCGAATCGAACGCTAAAGGCGGGGTGAGCCCCAAAGTCTACCGCAGAAATTTTCATACCCTTGCCGTCGGCCCACCTAAGCCATAAGCATACAATCTGTCTCCCTTAAAATTGGGTAATTACAAGTAAGATAGGCCATTGTGGAGCTCCTGAGATGCCCCAGAAAGGGATCCGTTTACAGTTGTGCCTAACCGAAATGCGATCCAAGGACGGCGGGCTCGTCCCATGTGCCGTGCTATCAAACCCGCGGACTCAAAACACCTAGCCTTGGACATTAGTAATCCATTAATAGCCCAAAAATGAAGTGTCATAGGTCAAACTTAATGATGTCTGCTGAGTCGGGAGGGGTTGTCCTTATGGTGCGGCGAGTAGTAATAGCATCATATAAATTTTGTGTCCTACATGTCCTGTCAGCCGCCATAGCTTAGCTTTTCATTGGCGAAGATAGTTACCGTTGGTACCAATATTTGGCTTTCCGATCCAACTGCTTCTTAGGAGAAGAGCTGGCACCTTGTACTTTTTGGCTCGAATTCCGTGAAGCACACCTTTCGTGTGGAAGGCATTGCGTTCTCAGCTAGATTCTGAGGGCTATAGCGATTCTACTGATATTTTTTCTCTAAATTTATGTGTTAGGTTTAAACTCTAGGATTTGACTAAACCTCACGTTCCCCTCAACTCTGGGGATCGGGTCCCTCGGTCATGCTTATGCAGGCCACGCCTGGCGGTCTCAGGAACTCTCCAATAATAGACACAACCTGAAGACTGAGGCGGCGGTGAGAGGGACGAAAAGAGAGCTCGGAAGGGCACACTCCTTCCCAGCGGCCCTCGGGAAGTGGGGATAACTAGTAGGGTAGTCAAAGGAGAAATATCTAAATGGGGATGTGATGTGGTGATATATCCCGATGCTTGTACAAGTATTTGTATAACAACGCACTTACCCCAAAGTTGTTATCAGTCTGCACCGGAGATTAAGTATTTGTCTTTCCCCGGTTTCCCAGGCTTGATCTCCGAGCCGCAAGAGGACCAAGTACGAGGTGGAAATAACAGTTCAGTAAAGGATTACAACTTAGGAAACTGGACCTCCCAGCTCAGGCAATAAATGAGAAGTTCTGGTGAAACTACGCGATGTTCGACCCTTAGACCATTGACAGGGCACCTGTTTTCTTTTTCCCCCTAAAACTGTCAACGGAGGTCGTGGGCTTTGTATACCTTTGCCGTCGGCCGGAGATTACCTACGGTGGGTTAGGCCTGTTGCCATAATATGGCATAAATGCACTTCTTAGGGGGGGCACAATCCTCAGAGAAATCCCAGGACTGTACGCTGTAACAGCGACCCTACACTTCTAAATAGCCAACGTTCGATCATAAACTGGGATTGGTTTTCCACTCATTAGATCACTACGGCTGAGATCTCTGATCTTTGAACATAACAGCTCACGAATATTTGATATCATGCGAGATCTGAGACTGAAGGACCGCCCCCCCAAGACGCTACAGAGCCCACGTCATCCATATACGTGAACGGAAATGAATTGGGTGATGGGAACCTTTGACGTCGACGGGGATGAGAACAAAGGCGGTTCTCAGGCTGAGAGTGTTGGTTGATTAAGCTGGTTATGTACAAATCCGCCAAGGGGTCAATCACCTTCCTCTCAAGGAAAGGATGAACCACGTACTCCAGTTCTGAGATACTCCCGAGACGCTCTTGTCGATTTCTGCACACGAGACTGGGAGCTTTTCTTCCATTAAGCATGGCTTCAGTTGCAGGTCCGGATTTCGGCTCGAAGAAGCCTCCTTGTTCTGTCAGACTTTTTCTTCCTACTAGTAGACTGAGCTGGGGTTGGTGAAATACGACGACCTCACCGATGTGCAGCTACCACCCCTCTCTACCCAGTCTGCACCGATTTGTAGGGCTATGCAACACACTTGCACATTAGTGATGACCGCAAACCCCAAAGATTGGATCGAGCTCCGCATAGAAATATCTGACTTCCAGATGTTTCGCCATCAAAAGAGCCTAACTAGAACCGGCGATCCCGGGCTCGGCACGGTCACCTAGACCGACCGTGAATCCGGATCCCTATCGCCCTAATTTTGACATGCGGCCTTTGTCCATGGAATCAGGAAATATTAAAATTGCATAAGGAGAGCCTTTTACCTCTCCATTCTGCAAGAATATAAGCTACCTTGGAGTGACCAGAGAATCATACACCTCAGAAGGGGGCTGCATCCCACTGAACTCCTACCAGTTCTCCAGCAATTGCTATCCTCATCTTACTACTCGCTCTGAACCACCATCTCTCACTCGGGCCATGCCACGTCTTTGTAGGATCGCGGACAGAGTCGCGCCTGTCCCATCCCCACTTCACAGCCCGCCAGGCATTCTCCGCGCTGACGGACCACCAGCGGCGGACCCAGCCAAACCATCCTTACGGACCATCCTAGGCATTCTCTACTCCTTATGCACGGCTACGCCGAACGTTGCAGCGCGTGTCCTGGGTCGTGTTCGACACAGAGCTGTTCCGAAGGCAGCAACGAGACTTGAAGAAGAGAAAGTTCAAGAATGCTGGACTGCAGACTCGGGAAGAGAGAGAAGCTTTAATGCACTGATGCAATCAGCAGCTGACGTGCGTATCCTCAGCGACCCTATTGCGCGGGTGCCGGGGAGAGCAGTGTAGGAAGGAGTAGGTGGAGATGACGAACTCGACGCGAGAGTCTCGAGAAAAGTGCCGGTTCCCCTGGAGCACTATCTCTATGAGTAGTACTACTGTCTTCAAACTACTAGGCTGCACACACAATATCCCTTCTGTATTACCTGGCATCGAGCCATCATCGTCTTGGCTTTCTGTCCTTCTTCTCCTCTCCAAGTCTCGTGAATGTACATTTCTTGGTTCTGTGCTCATCCAAAACTAAAATTACTGTGACTATGCTGGCTCTACCCTTCGAATGTCTACAGGCCAATGACCGCGCTCTTCTGCCCCAAGGGCGATGCTTCTTTCTTCGCCAATGACGACGGAGGATGGCGGCAAAGCCTGACTGTCTATGCAACGTCCACACCGAGAGCGACGGAGTGTACTCGTAACCTTTACTGGAGAGGGAAGGCTTGAGGGAGTTGAGTGGCGCTGGGAAGGTCAACCAGATCGACGGTGCACGATTTGGACGCAATAGGATCTGCCAGATCCAGATACAAAGACCAATAAACGTTCCTTTTCTGTGCATTCTTTCTTGCAATAAGCCCGGAACGCTTGGCAGGGTGTGGGTAAGAGATAAAGCACAACGTGATCGGAAACGATGCTGTTTTTACGTGAAAACGGGAAACCCAACGGGCAAATAGCGGTCTCTTCTTTGTCACTCAAACGAATCTCAAAGGACAGATCTGTCATCTTAGGCCCATCTGATTAAGTGCCAAAGGGAGGGAAGTAGGCGATGGCGCCTTTGTTAGAATTGAGAATTTCATATTCGCCGGCTTCGGGGTCCCATGGCCGCCCGCCCGAGGGATTGATTCCCTAGATACTAGAGCCGACAGATACGTGAAAAGGCAAGGGTTAGATGGTCACAAGTTGTGGGATCTTGGGTGCTGGGCTTAATTAGGATCTATACATATATTTTGGGGCAGCAATCTACAGCAAGCCGTCATAGCTCAGTTGGGAGAGCGACAGACTGAAGATTACATAAGATATTGTGAAATTCGGTTTCTGCAGGTCACCCGTTCGATCCGGGTTGACGGCAATTCTTTTTATGTTTTCAACTGCTTTTGGGCCATGGATCGAACGGGGCGGTGTGATTTTGTCCTCCCAGCTCGTACCCGTTGCTTCCGCTGCAGAAGCGGTTGGAAAATGTATTCAAATTTTTAACAAGTCCTCGAATCAGTTCCACAAATAGTTTCTGGGCTTTGTTGCATGCGTTGTTGGGGGGGGGGGGAAATGCCGGCGTGGGGGCTCGGGGCGCTGCGAATGGGCGGTTGGCAGGTGACACGCGGCAGATGGCGCTGTAAACCTTTGTAAATAGTATCCCAGCACCACAATATGCGTTTATTATGCTAAATAAGTGCTTTGTACAGCGTATACTACATGTATTGCAAGTCGTTTGCGTTCCCGAAGCCGTCGTTGCAGAGCAGAAACGGAGACGCCGCACCGTGAGAATTCCGTGACAGGACGCGCGTCGTGATCGAGCCCAAAGTCCAAATCGTAATCCCCAACCTCATTTACACCTTCCCCGAACACGAATGGCGTCCAAGAAGGAAGAAGCAGCCAAGATGCAAGTCGACGAGTCGGCTAAAACCTCTACGACCACACCCGCTCCACCGAAACCGGCACCGACTCCGGCTGAGGAGGTTCGGGCGAACTTGCAGCTCATTGAGCGCGCCGTTTCGACGCTGGAACCGCGGTACACGGCCAGAGTGCTGAGGAGCCTTACTACGCTGAGGAAGAAGCTGGATGCGAAGGTGTTGGCGGAGGTCGTTGGTGGTTTGAAAGGTGCGGCGCTACGTGAAAGCGGTTCGGTTGCGTACGCGGGCTAACTTCGAGCACGTTTAGACGGCCCCGTGAAACAAGGCCTGCTGCCTTACCTACCTGAAGCACCTTCACCTTCTGCCGGCTCGATGGACGTCGACTCCGGTTCTGGCGCGGCGGCGACCGCCAAGCCTACCCCCGCGTTGACCGAGCCTTGCCCCGAGGTGGACATCTACCTCCGCTTGCTGGTCATCCTTCGCCTTTTAGACGCAGGGTCCGTGGACAAAGCGAAACAGCTCGCTCACGAGACCGTAGACAAGATTCAGCAGCTGAACCGGCGGTCGTTGGACGCGATCGCCGCCAAGGTTTATTTCTACCTTGGACGCCTGTACGAGCTGCAAGGCGACATCGCGGAGCTGAGGCCGTAAGTCGGGGGTAGCATGGTAAATGATATTTTACGTTTAAGCTGACGTGACGCGTGTTTTAGACTGTTCCTCGCTGCTCAGCGGACGGCGTCTCTCCGCCATGACGATGAACTCCAGGTAAGACGCACATTACTTTTTTTTCTTGGCCAGAGCTAACTTGCACTCTCTACTCTAGGCCACCCTCATCAACCTCTTACTCCGAAATTACCTCCACTACAACCTCTACCAGCAGGCGGACAAGCTCGTTTCGAAAACCAAGTTCCCCGACAGCGCCGGCAACCCCCAACTCTCTCGATACCTCTATTACCTCGGCCGCATTCGCGCCGTCCAGCTGAACTACACGGAGGCGCACACGCACCTCCAACAAGCCATTCGACGCGCTCCGGGTGCGACGATTGCACCTGGGTTCTACCAGACGGTGCACAAGCTCTTCTTGATCGTTGAGCTCCTCATGGGTGATATTCCAGAACGCGCGCTGTTCCGACATCCGGTGTTGAAGGGTGCTTTAGCCCCTTATCTCAAGATTGTACAGGGTTCGCCTTCCCCATTCCGATTCGCCCGCTTCTAACACTGACCGCCGATCCCACCCCTATCCCCAGCCGTTCGTACCGGTGACCTCGCTCAGTTCCAATCTAGTCTACAGGCGCACGCGCCACTGTTCACCCAAGACGGGACTTACACCCTCATCCTCCGCTTACGCCACAACGTTATCAAAACCGGCGTCCGCGCCCTCTCGATAGCCTATTCAAGGATATCGCTCCGGGACATTTGCCTTAAATTGCATTTGGATTCCGAAGAGGACGCGGAATACATTGTGGGCAAAGCTGTTCGAGATGGTGT